TTTTCTTGAAAACCCCAAAATGAACGCAGTATATCCCACACAGAGGTAGTACAAGATTTTCTTGAAAACCCCAAAATGAACGCAGTATATCCCACCCAGAGTTAGAATCTCTCGGACAAGATTTTCTTGAAAAAACCAAACGAATTACCCGGTATATCCCACACAGATGTAGGGTCCGAGACAAAATTTTCTTGAAACCAAACAGAAATTCTTGAAGTTACGAAGAAAAGAGGAACTAACCTTAGCCGAAGCCCCTTGTGGATTTCGAAGCACAATTTGGTCGATTCCGTTCCAGTCTTTTGTCTTTTCAAGGGCCATCCTGGAATCCCAAACCGCAGCAGAGTGACCCATTTTGCTTGCCTCTTTAAAGCAAATCCAAGAACCTCCCTAACGTGTTTTTCACGAACCTAATTGAACTTTTAAAGCATGCCAAATGCCGCAATCATTCAAGAGATGGTGCCGAGCGTCGACCTTAAAAAACAAGATCTTCGTGATCTTGTGAACAATCTTTAGAATCTGCAACTACTTATTTCGACTTTTTCCTAAATCTGACCCTCCATATATCCCACCAAATCGTTTTTTTTCTAAAACGGGATTCAACGTGAAACCCCCCTTTGGATTGCGGTTTTCAAGAATCAATGCTTCGAGTCATACCACCTAGCAAAGCATAAGATAGACAAGAGTCAAGATTTATGCAAGAACTCCTTACCTAATAATCAACACCAAAATTTCAAACGAAAGCAAATTCAATTATAGTAACAAAAAGAAACCCAAAAACCAAACGAACACAGTAAATCCCACACGAAGTGGTGGGAGGTTCAAGTAAGAAGGCTAAATATCGTGCGTGAGAAGGTAAGAATTGTACGTTCATATGTGAATCATTCAATATTTGAAGATGTCCATATGAATATATGTCACGTCGGTTCACATATGCATCTTCAAATATAAAAAAAGATGTATATTTTCAATTATTCACATATTAACCTTCCCTCCTTACCTTCTCACGATATTTAGCCTTCTTATTTGAACCTGCCCATATACATACATACATATATATACATACATATACAGATATGAACAAGATGATAGATGCATATAAAACAAAATCAAACGAGCCCAGTATATCCCATCTGAAGGTGAGGTGGGATGTAAGCAGACATGACCTCTACCATAAAGAGTAAAACAGTTGTTTTCGTGAAAATGATAGATGCATGATCTTCTACCTAAAGTTCAACAAGAAAATTCCAACCAAATTTTGTCATACAAAAGCAATATGAAACCAGCAAAGTCACATATACTTAAATAACACTAGTCCTCCTTCTCAAGAAAAGAGTCGAATTCAACATTTTAGAAAGAAAATATAACCATAATTCTTTAATGATTTTACCCTTGATTAGATACAAAGCAACACAAGTGATAGATACATGAACTCCTTACCTAAAGTTCAACACAAAATATCAACCAAATCATCGAATCAAATAATACTCCGCTTTACATTTTACACGAATTCAGATACCGTCTTTTTCAACGATGTCATCCTTGATTGAGTACATATCAATAAAACAAGTCTTTATCCAATCTTTACAAATAAAGGGTAATCGAAGAATACTACTTTTGAACGAGTCGTTGAACTTCCAACAATATACAGATCGAAACCAAACGAACCCGGTATATCCCACCAAGAAAGACCGAAAATCGGGCAGTTTTAGGACTAAGGGGTAATTCAGTCATAAACACAACACTTCCATGGAAATTTTCCAAGAAAAACTTCCGACTTTCAATACTCAAAACCTAAATCCCTAAATTGAAATCAAACTCCCACAAGAAGAAAAACTGAATCCAGAAACAAGAACTTTGATCATCCAGTAACTATGGTTTTCCCCAATTGAAAAGAAACAGTAAAGCAAGAACACAATCTATGAACACATGCATCCCACATTATACTCAATTGGAATCTCTAAAACTTACCCAACAAAATCCCAATCCAATTCCCCAAGTTTTGGATCCAAGAACTTTCTGCTACAGTACAAACCCAAATCCATAACTAACACAGCAAATAGACCAAGAAATCTTGAAATCTAAACAACACCCACTTCAGGAAACAAGAAACAGTAGACAAACAACACAACAACAAGAAAGAAAACGAATCAAAAACTACAAGAAAATGTCGACATACATTGGATTGATGGATGGTGGTTGCGATGTGTAAACCCAAGAACCCACGAAGCAGAGATTCAAGATAACCCTCAAAGAAAGCTGTGGGGGGGGGGGGGAAGGTCGTTTTCTGGTTTTAAAATTGGGGAAAAACAGAATAAAGAAACATGGGGGTGAGAGGCAAGATTGTGAAATCATGTGCAAAGAAACATTATAAATTGAATAACGTTAACCAAAAATTAAGGAGAAATTAATGAAAGGGTACCTTGGGATTTTATTATCTGCTTGAGGTTTTGGGGAGAAGAGAAGAAGGACGTGGAAGATACGTGAAGTACATGTAAATTGTACAAACGGTCAAGATTTGAAAAAGCTCAAAGAAAATGGAGGAATTCAGAGATTTGATTTAATTTAATTTAAATTGTCGGAGGGGGGACAAAAAGGATTCGAATTGATGAAGGAAACTGGATCAAGAGGGTGGTGGTGATGGCAAATGGGCCAAGATGAGATAAGAGTTACAAGATTTTCAATTAGACCCTTCTTTTATTGCATATATACATTTTTACCCCATATGTTTTTTCTTCCACTACAACAAAATCGGGTTTATATGACACTTCCAATTTTTAAGCGTCCTAATAGACTTCTTTATAAGACTTAGTTTATAAGACCAGAAAAATAAAGCGTCCTATCTAAAGGCGTTGTAATAAGTTTATATGATGTTTCTTGACGTTGTAATAAGTTTTTTAGGACACTTTTGATATAAAGCGTCCCATTAGCAACTTTATAAGATACTATTTGAAAAATATCCTATAAAAACAAATGTCCTATAAAAACAAATTTTCTATAAAAAGTTGAGTTTATAGGACACTTTCTCAAAAGTGTCTTATAAAGTTGCTAATGCGACACTTTGTATTAAAAATGTCTTAAGAAACTTGTTAAGACGTCCAAAAACGTCATATAAACGTATTACAACACCTTTAGATAGAACGTTTTATATTTTAGTCCTGTAAATCAAGTTCTATAAAGCGATCTATTGGGACGCTTAGAGATTGAGTGTGTCCTATAAATCCAATTTTATTGTAATATTCTAAATAGATTTGAAGTCAAGATGCATAAGAAAACCGAAGCCTGAAGCCTGGCCTAAAAAAATACTTATCCTAGTAAAGTTCAAAGCCTGGTCCGGGCTAGGCATAAGATCCCGATCAGTTTGAAAATTTGAGGACATGCCCACCTGAAAAAAGCTTAGAAAAACTTTGTTAAACACAGAAAAGCTATGAATTAAAGGGGTAGCTAAATTCATAAAAAAAAAATAAAAAAAAAACTTAATAAATGTTATTAATAATCCTTATTATTTGATTTTATAATTAAAAATATAAAACATAAAAATGTATTACAAAACCATTTGCTTAACTACAGGGTCTAGTTTGTATTTTTGGAGAAAGAACAAGGACCCGAATTGTTTTCAAGCAACAACAAGGGCTCTAAATGTAAGTTCATTAAACATTATTTAATTTTATTATTTTCAAACTTTATATCTAATTAAAATTTATTGAATTCAAAAAGTCTTTAAATGATAATGTTAAAATAATATGTCTATAAAAAAAATAGCTTTATATACATGTGGTAAATCAGTCAAATCCATTTCAAAAACAGATAGATTTATATTATATTTTATTATATTTAAAAAGGGTTGGGTTCACATGAGACCAAAGGTTTTTCGTGAGACACGTAAGATCAATTTATGTTTATTGATCAACTTTATAAGCTAATGATCTAATGGTCTAAAGTTGTGCGGTGGTAATTTTGTGATTATTGAGAAGTCTCGTGGCAATTTTGTGATTATGAATGTTCAGATTATAAATATAATCCAAGAGTTGAGACATGGTATTACGGGTCTCACAAAAAACCCTTGGTCTCACATGATCCCAAGTCATTTAAAAATGTAAGTAAAATCATCATCCCAATATATTTAAAAAAAACTTTTATAGAAAATAATAATCCCTTTAATCTTATTGGTGGAAATTTCTAAAATTTATATTAATTTAATTGTTTCTACTTTCAATCAATGAGACTGGATGCGTTATAATTTTCTGTAAACTTTTTCTCAAAATATTTTGAAATGAGAAATCTATAAAATATTCTTATAATATAATTAATACTGAGATGGTTTTTTTAAACTACTGACCTTTTAGAATGATTTTAAACCAGTTATTTTTCACGCCCAATTTACTTATTGATACGTTGTAATAGAAATTTTGGTGATTCAGAGAGTTATGTACTACAACAGCTATACTATATTATAAGGTAAAAAAAGAATATGAAAATACCTTAGAGAAATCTTTAAGGGTTGTTTGTTTACCTCTTAATAGTTTCATTAAGAGACAACATCTGAATTATTAAGAGGTAAATCTTGTTTGGCAAAAAAAGTGTCTGCCTCTTAATGGTTCTAAAACCCTCTGAATGATTTCTCGACTTTTGATATTTTATTTTATAGCATAATCGTTAGATATGTTTTAAAGTTATCATAATAGTAATCACATGCTATGTAATCATTTACAACCCTGTAAACCAACTTTTTATGTATTGTTTCATATATAAATATGAAACAGCACGTGTTAAAATGCAGTTGTTATACAGTGTTGTTTCATATGTGAAATGTTCATGCATGTTTTTTTTATTAACTTTTGATATTTAAATCCGCTATGCGAGCCGACTAATCCCAAGGAGACCACCTGCTTTTGCGGGTATCCCGAAGTTATCACATTTGAACCTCCATGGCCATAAAGGGATTTTTATCTCTCCTTGGATTTAAACCTGAGATCTCCAGACACTTTTACCCTTTAGAGTACAAGTACCTATTTATCTAAAATCACTAAAGGGTCCGTTTACCCAAATGCTTACCTGGTAAACGCTTACTAGTAGGAGTCAACACTATAATCTATTTTACCAGGTAAGATTGTAGTATGTTAAAATGGTACCGTATGCAACAATTTATCCAATAAACGTTTACCCGAGTAAGAGTCCCCATCATCGTTTACCGGGTAAGACTTTCTATCCTTATTATCGCTCTTACCGAGTAATATTTCCGTCCCTTTCCATGTGCACCAGGTGAGGAAAATTACCCGATCAGTACTTAACGGATAAATGTTCAGTAAACGACCCCTGATTGTTGGATTTGATCCCTCTTTATCTATATTTCTTTTTACTAGAATTGAAGATACAAAATCTACAAACAAAAGCATCTACATCCAATTATTTGTGTTCCATTTTTTTATAATAAAATGGAAAAATAAAATATCAAAATGTACAAAATATATAACACATGGCATCAATTATTGAATTTTTTGTGATTCATCAAAAATTCAATAAATTAGTATTTAAATCTTACAAGAAATGTATCCAAACCCAATCTATTCATCAAAATTCATATCATAATATAATTTGGAGCAAATTACATTTTTCGTCCCTCTACTTTCATGAAAGTTCCAGTTTCCGTCATTGGTCTTGATTAATTGTAGTTTCTGGCACTGTTGTTTACGGTTCGATGTTATTTTCGTTCTTGGAGCAAATGTCGTCTGTTATCAACTGTTAAACCTAGTCATGTTCTCTTTACATGAAGGGTAATACTGTCTTTTTCAAGTTTGTGATAGACTCCTCCCTCTCTCACTCCACATCTTTATGCATACTTCCAATTATACCTTCATTGGATTCCGCTTCTTCAAATCCTTGTGCAGGACACGTGGGAGGGGTGGGGGTTAGTGAATAATAACAACCGTTAGTCGACACACACACGCGCGTGCATGCATATATGTATGTACATATCATAGATAATAACGCAAGGTTCGATTTACACAGGTGATATTGAGAACTGTTTTCACAATTTTACTTTAAAACCATATTGCTTTGATTATTATGTTCATGGTAATATGTTGAATATGATGATTGTAAACTGACTACCATGCTCTTAGAAGAAATGATATTTCGAGCACATGACAACACATAATAGAAATTCAGTAATGTAACTGCTTTTTGATTAATCTGGATATCCAACCCGCTATGCGAGCCGACTAATCCCAGAGCGACTATCTGCTTTACGGGTAGCCCGGAGTCACCTCATTTGAACCTCCATGGCCACAAGGGGATTTTTATTCCTCCTTGGATTTGAACCTAGGACCTCCAGACACTTTTGACCTTTGGATCACGTTGAGGCATCCTAACAGACCTGTAGGCTTGAACCTTGTTCCTACATGACCCGATCAAAGCTCAAACCAATCAGACACCATCTTTGTGGTTCAGTAATGTGATTAGGGTTATGACCAAACAATAAAAAACCGTTTATTTTTAAACCAAAAATGCAAAAAGAAATTCTCGAAGGACCAAAAATGTAGATTGATGAAATAGTAGGGATGCAAAATTGCTATTTTTATAACAATTATAATAATTGGTGTTTAAGTTTTATGAAATTCTTTTGTGACACATTCATATTCAATTATTGTAGCTCATGTCCATTTTGATATTTGCCAAAGGAATGAGAAAGAAAATGACTCCAAATGATGTTGTTTTTATATTGAAAATATAGAGATTTCCTTTTCAAAATAATAAGTTAAAAGGTTAATTATATAAAAATCGACCATTCAATCGGTAATCTGATTGCTGTTGAAAGAAGTTAATTTAACTGATATGATTGTAAAAGTAGAAATAAGAACCACAAGGATGGTGTCCGATTGGTTTCAGCTTAGACTCTAAAGGTCAAAAGTGCTATCCAGGTTCGAATCTATGGAGGAATAAAAATCTCCTTGTAGCCACAGATGTTCAAATGCGGTGACTCCGGGTTACCCGCGAAGTAGGTGGTCGCCCTGGAATTATATAAAACCTCTTATAAGTTAGAAACTTTATGAAACAATACTGACCATACACTTTTAATTTCTATAATTATCTTATTAATTATATTAATTACCTTGTAAATCTTTTTTCTTAAAAGAAAAAAGTATTTTTTTTGTTTTGCTTTTGAAACAACAACAACATTATTTCACTAATGAAACAACACATGGGTTGGTGATACGTTTTCATAATACAGTGTTGTTTCACCAATGAAACA